ACTAATTGCCATGGAGCTTCTGATGTGGACTGCTTACCTGGGTGCCATTTTTGAGAAAGTGAGACAGGGAAGTAGTCCTTGCTGGAGAACACCAGCAAATTGAAATTTGGGAAGAAAGTGAGAATTCTTCCTCAGAAAGGCACAGGCAAAATATAGGCCATCTGCTATAAAGTTTAAACCTAATAAAACTCAGCCATCATTAATAATCACTTCTAGATTCTTAATCACTTCTAGATTCTGAGAAATGTGAAGCACCTTGCCAGAAGATTGTTTGGTACATTATAAGATGAGTCTAAAATTATATCAACAGATATATTACTGTGCTTCTTGTAGCTATTAAATTAGAAGAATTTTGAGTATGCTGTTTTGACCTTGTGATTAGTTTGACATTTTATTCTGACATACATATATTAATCAGAGTTATATTTACACTGATGAATTTTGATTGAGCTTTTCCTAGAACAGCATCAATCGTTAGGTGTACAGGTATTCTCTGGGGACTAATATGTAATTTAAGAACAACTCATGTTGTGTAAATGCCATTGAGTTGGTTCCTACTCATAGTGAACCTATGCACAACAAAATGAAATGGTGTGTGGTTCTGCTCCATCTTCACAATTGTTTTTGTGAGTCCATTGTTTGGCAGTGGAGCCCTGGTGGTGTAAGGACTATACATTGGGCTACAATCTGCAAGGTCAGCAGTTTGAAACCACCAGCCCCTTATTGGGAGAGAGACTGGGGTTTCTCCTGTAAAGTCTCAGAAACTCACAGGGGCACATCTGCTCTGTCCAATAGAGTTGCTATGAGTCAGCATCAACTAGATGGCAGTCACTAAACTCATTGTTGCAAGCACTGTGTCAATCTATCTCACTGAGGGTCTTCCTCTTTTATGCTTCTACTTTACCATGTATGAAGTTCTTTTCCAGGGACTAGTCTCTCCTGATAACATGTCCAAAGTATGGGAGACAGTCTCACTATCTGCTTTTAAGGAGCATTCTGGCTCTCCTTCTTCCAAGAGAGATCTATTTGTTCTTCTGGCAGTGCAAGGTACTTTCATTATTCTTTCCCAGCACCATAATTCAAATATATCAACTTTTCTTTGGTTTTCTTTATTCATTGTTCAGCTGTCACATGCATATGAGGCAATTGAAAATACCATGGGTTGGGTCAGGTTCATCTTAGTCCTCAAATGACATCCTTACTCATCAACACTTATCTTCAACAAAAATTTACTTACCTGTTATATTAAAGACATTCTTTGATAATTTCTGCACTCTATTGTATCACCTTTCTTGGAATGGGTACATTTATGGATTTCTTCTTGTCACTTACCAAAGCTGCAATTAGTTTTTTTCCTGACCATACTCAAAACCCAATATACTGCCATCAAATTGATTTTTACTCATAGTGTCCCTATAGGGCAGAGTAGAACTGCTCTCAAATATTTTTGAGGCTGTAAATCTTCACCAAAGCAGAAAGCCTCAGCTTTGTCTCTCACAGAGTAGCTGGTGGGTGTGAATGGCTGACATTGGGGCTAGTAGCCCATTTTGTAACCACTGTAACCAGGGTTCTTTACTTGCACAAAACCAACCAAACCAAACAGTGCCCTTGAGTTGATTCTGACTTATGGTGACTCTATAGG